AGGTGACCTACAAAAGGGTTTTATAAATGAAATATATTTATTTGTGTTGAATGTCTTACATAAAGGAAGAGTGAAAAACGTGCTAAACCATGCATGTCCTTTTTGGCTGTGATATTTTAGCATTTTAAATGTACTTGGCTCTTTCTATAAAGAATAAATTAGCCTGATTTGCTCTGGCTCACTGAGAATGAAGTGTTCAGGTAATAGCTCACCATCTTGTGGATACATGCAAAATACTGCTTTGGCTGCTTGGGGAAAGTGATGATTTTTCTAAGTTACAGATTGCATAGAAATTTAATGTTATTTGGCTACTTTGGGAGGCCAAGAGCTACATATTAGACAACAGCTATGGAGGGTGCAGTGTGACCTCAGAAGTTTCCTTCTGCTACAGAAACAAAGGCATTTGTCTATGAAACAACCATCTTATTCTCTCAAGCAGAATCCAAAACTTATCTTTTCCTTGTGGTTCAATTTCTCCAGTATCAGGCTTAAGATAAAAGTTAACCATTTTGCTAGAGTTAATACATTAAGAAAGTTTGGGCACATACTGAGTAGGAATTGTGGGCAGAATATCTGTGCAAAAAGCATTTATTTAAAAATCCTGGTTAACTGCTAGAGAAGGGACATGACAAAAAACAGTTCTTTAACTCCTGAAGAAACAGATAAATGGATGTAAGTTTTATGCCCCAAATTAAATAAGATTAACACACAGAACAGCAGTACTAAGGATTTCGCTTACTTTATTTGTATGAAACTATGATGCAATCAGGAAGTTGGGTTTATTAATATGCCCTTCTGTATGAATCTGAGACATCATAAGCAGTTTATAAAGTAATAATTATTGAGTCCCTACACACCTTATAAAAATGCTGTTAGATTCTTGTGTTACACTAAAACTGAAAGCCACTTTTAAGAAATGAATAATTTGTGATTGATCACATCACTTGTATCTGAAAAAAATCCAGGTCACATAAAACAATACTTGTTGCTGGGACAATGTTTCTAACTAATTTAGCTCTCTGTAGAAGTAAGTTGTATTTACAGCTCACCAGCACAGAAAATCATTAGTTTCATTAAGGTGTTCCTTGAGGAAGACATACAAAATTCCAGCATCCACTGCTATTGAAAAGCAGCTAGGACAAACCAAGAAAATAAATCCTATGCTTTTATTTGCTGGTAGTTTCTCTTTTTCAGATTACTCCTTTATATTTGGCCTGTGGTTGAACCTGTCTCTTTAACAGGGACATGCTGAGAAGTAAAGCTGTGTGTTTGCGGCACAAGTCCAGTCCTGAAGGAGCAATAATTTCAAAAGAGCAATTCATCCAAAAGCAGAATTGGTGGAGTCACAGCAAATTACTCAATAGTTCTGTGGACTTGTTAAAATTCATGTGGATGTTGTTGAGACACTGAGAAGTCCATGTAATACCAGGTAGAATTTGGGTAATATCAGTGCTTCTTCAGCTTACAAAATGATAATATGAACAAGGAATGCTATAGGGAGCAATTCTACAATTTGACAGAACCCTTATTTCTCACCAAGTTTCCATGTGACCCTCACTGCAGTGATGTTTCAAACACAGAAAAGAGCTACAACCATCTGAGTTCACCAAGTTCACCTTTGCACTCTCATCAATTCCATTAATCTCTCTTTCAGCTGGTACTGTATGCCTTGATCTCATTTCAAAAGTTTCTCTGCTATCATCTGCCTGCAGGAAGCATCGTGAGGAGGTTTTGTGGATTGCATCAGATGGGTAAAAGCTGGCACTTCAATAATTTATGCTAGTAGCTTATTTTCAGTGAGCAACTTGGCCACCAGCAGCAGAACATATTAAGAAAGATCTAGGTAATACAGTAGAAGTCTGAACAATTTTGATTTCTTGTCAGCACCACAGAAAATGCAGAGATTTTAACACTCATGCCAGTAATCAACCCATACTGTAGATCTTTATCATATATATTACATTTAATACTATTTTTCCTGATTTATGTAAAATTGTCTCCAAGTAATTGGCTTGTTATTGTCAACTGCATAAGCTGCTAGGCTAGTATTTGAGTTAGAAGATAAAGAAACATAAAGAGAAAAATGGGACTGGTAGTTGACAGAATTGATCAGTCACTGTGGAATATACTGTTTCATCAAAAACACCTCTCTGATGAAGCATCATGAAAATGTAACTTGATCACCTTTCCTGACTTCCAAATACAGTATCATATGTGCAAACAACAACTGAAAATCTACTGACTGCTAGTTACACAAAAATTAAGCTTCACACTATTAGGTCAGAGCTTGCTCAGTGCCGAACAGCCTCCAGCACAGGAACAATGAATGCAGTGTTGAGAGTGAAGACTGCAAACATACTTGCAAACTAACACTAAAACCTGTAAGACCTTATTTAGAATTATTTTTTCCTCTATTTCTAAGGTAAGGAAGACAAAATGTTAGTCAAAACTTAGCTATGCTTAATAGGATACTGTCTCCCAGGGTAAATGTTCATAATCACTTCTAAAGCATGTAAAAATTATATTTCTCTTTGATATGCTGTTCGAAGTGAAAACCCTGTTTCCAAAATTAGAAATTCTAACAGGGAAATAAAGATACGTACAGGGGTATGAAGATAGAGGAAAAGATACTAGCGTGCTATCTTTGGAATGAATATGATCTCATGGAGTGATAATAGGAGATTGATTATATTTCTCATTTTGGAGGAGCTACTGTACATTCCCACTGTTACAATAGCACCAATTATGTCCACACTTCCTTTCAACAATATTTTTCAAAAGGCTTTATAAAGGATGTTAGAATCATTATCCTGACCTGACTGACAAGAAAATCAAGAAACAGACCACTGAAAAAATAACTAACTGAATGTCACCTGGCAGACAAGCAGAAACACAGTATTTCAAGTTTCAGTCCTATATTCTTTTGGCAAGATCCTTCTGATGTTTTCAAATGCCACTGTACAAGCAGGGAAGTGTTCACAGAATTTACAAAGGCATTGATTGTGATTTTCTGACAAGCCTGGTCTGTAAGTACCCACTAAATATTACAGTAAGGAGCTATTATTGACTCCTAAAACACTCTCCTCTAGCAAAGCCATCCAGTTGTTAATGGCTGGCAGAAGCTCAAAACCCCTGTTTAAAACAGTCTATCCTTTTTAAATGCCCTTGCAGTGTTGGTTTTTCCCAGCTGTGACATTTATGATAGGAACAAGCAGGATAGGCAGTGATATTTTTCTGTTATCTGGTGTAGTTATTTCCCTATGCTTTCACAACACCAGGAATTTCAACATGTACAGCTCAAATACTTCCCCATGTCTGTTACCTCCTTAGTCATTTGGTGACATTACTTCTTTAAAATAAATAATTTTAAGAAAGAAAAACCCAAGTAAAATTTTCTGTCGAGAGAAAAAACATTCACAAGTCTCATCAGACATGATATTAGTAGCAAAAAAACTTTGGCTTTCTCAGAATTACAAGAAACAGGCAGTTGCTGAACCTAAAGAAGATCTGTGTGCCAGGCAGGAACTACAGAATGTAGTATGTTCTTTGCCCTTGCACCACCTCCACTTGCCTCCTCCACTAAAAGCTGTTGGCTGCTCCTCTATCACTCATCTAACTCAGTATTGCCTGCTGCTGCTACAGAAATTTTCATCCATGCCACAGCTGACAGATTCTGGGCTCTTCATTCAACTCAGGTAGCAAAACGAATTATAATCAGGGCCGACAATCTGCCTGAAAATGTACAATGCAATATGTGATAGTGCATCATCGAACATTTAACACATAAATGTATCATTGTCTGAATGCAGGCAGGATCTCCACCAAATAACAATTTTCCTTTTCACGTTTGTACTAGTGGGTAACTTACTTTATTTTTTAAAAAATAGTTCAATGGTATTTTACTTAAAAAGTTGCAAGAACATTTAAGAGCCACTCAGAAGGTGTTTTATTTTTAGCATAGGAATGAGTCCAACTACTTTGAATTCAACAAATTGAACTTTTATTCGTAATTAGAAATTGTATTTTCAAACATTGATCAAGTAAGACAACAGTGCTGTGCGTAAACAATACGCACACTAACACACACAAATTACTTCTAGGGTTAGATAATACCATAACTGCCAAGTATATTCAGAAGGACAAAACCTATTTCTTTGTACTGAGCTACACACCCAGAGAAGTTCTCAATGCATGATTGCTACAGCTAAATTGTTATCATCCTTTCTAGATGACAACAAAAACATTGATATTCTGCCCTACTTGCACTTCTCTGCTTTTGTCTGAACTTTACTGCACCAATCCATGTTCTACTGGATGATTTGTCCCAAAGTCTTTGCATTACTAAAGTGAGAAACCAGTTATTTGGGTTTTTTTTTTCTACATGTTTGATTTGAAAGTCTCTTTCTATTGCAGCAAATAATAATGATCACTGGCTGTCTGGACCAACTTCTCCACAGGAAAAGTAGATTTCATTATTTCTGCTACTGACATAAAGCTCTTTGAGGACATTCTGTGATCTCACACCCAACTCTGAGCAGTCACAACAGAAGAGAATCATGATGACTGAGTTTTCTTTAAAGAAAAGCCATCTATACAAGAATAAAAAAATGTTCATTTATTTTGCTTCAGCACTGGTTTCCTGATTCCTGTTTTTTTCCCAGCCCATTGAATGTTCAATTCCCACTGTACAATACACTCAAATACAGGAAGGATATGATCAGTGGGCTTGATTTCAACGGTGCAGAACTACCACTGAATTAGATCTGACCAAGTTTAAATGACCCTGGGGCACTTCAACGCCTTGGGGTGCATTTACAGATCCAACCATTTAAGCACAAAGACGTAACTTTAAAGGTATAAAACCATTCCACATGTCCTTGTTTGTTAAAAGATTCAGAGGTACACATGATAGTTCTAGAGCGTCTTAAAATGCCAGAAACACATCATTTCAACTAATTTTGTTTTGAAACCAAGCAGTTTTGCATTCTTTCATTACTAACCTGGCTGTTAAAGTTGGAGAAATGACAATAGAGGCAAAAATCTTCACCATAGCCATTTTACAAAGATCAGCTGCAGAGCCTATGAAAGAAAGTGATCTGGTTTTAATTTAAAGCATGCAAAAGGAAAATGTTCTTCTTGGAACTATGGCATAGGAACAAAAAATATCAGAAGATTCTGAATTACAAGAATTTTCAAAACTAGCAGATCCAATTAATGCAATATGTGAAACAGATTATAAGACTAATAAATAAAGAGGAAGTAATTACATGTTAATTAAAACTAGAAAATAACAATATGAAATCATGTGTTAATTAAAGGTGAATTTGTCATTCATGACTATACATTGAAAAATTGCTTTCTATAAAAAAAAGGTATAAAATTATCTATCTCTAAGCTTTAATTAAAATTTATCTATGAATTAATTAAAGTTTATTGTCACAAAAGGTCAGAACATTGTTTCAGGCTGCATTTCAATTTGGAGCCTTAATTTTGCACTTTTTCATATTTCCATGTATATGTAAAACATATTCATTACATTACAGTGTTAAGAGCAATCGTGCATAAAACAGTGTCATGGCATAGAAAAAATGGCACATTTCTGGTCATCAAGCAACAGAATAATTCTCCAGGCCTGCAGCTTGGTGAAGGGCTTTGTTCTGATCCAAACATTTTACACAAAAGATTTATCTGATAAAATATAGAAACAATCCTTTGAGTAAAGAGTGGAAGCCATAATCCTCCTTGTCCCACTAAATGTCCTAGATCATGGTCATTTTTTTACAACCCTGTAACTCAATGAATTTTGAATTTTTTCTGCCAAATGATTCAATTTTCAGAACAGTATCAGAGAACAGCCAGGCAGCCAAGTGACAAGGGTACTCTGCTGAGAGGCAATCAGAGAATTGCAGAGATCTCCAATCAGAAGGGACCCATAGAGATCATCAAGTCCAACACCCCAGCTCATAGCACAACTCTAAATCTGAACCATATGACTGAGAGCATTGTCCAAACACTCCTTGAACTCTGTCAGGCTTGATGCTGTGACCACTACCCTGGGGAGCCTGTTCCAGTGCCCAGCCACCCTCTGGGCCAAGAGCCTTTTCCTGATACCCAGCACAAACCTCCCTGACACAGCTTCAGGCTGTTCCCTCAGGTCCTACAGCTGTCACTGGAGAAATGACCTCAGCATCTCCCCCTCCACTTCCTCCCTTGAGGAATCTGCAGACTGTGATGGAGTCACCCCACAGCCTCTTCTCCAGGCTGAACAACACAAGGGACCTCAGCTGCTCCTTCTAAGTCTTGTCCTCAACACCTTTCACTATCTTGGTGACTCTCCTCTGGACACTGTCTGACAGTTTGATGTCCTTCTTATATTGAGGTACCCAAAACTGCACACAGGACGTGAGGAGGGGCCACAGCAGTGCAGAGCAGAGTGAGACAGTGACTGGCCAGTGAGGCTGTGCCTGATGTCCCCGAGGGTACAGTGAGCCCTTCTGGCTAGGGAAGACTACCTAAGAGAACAAGGACAAAAGCTTAACATCTCTTCTTCCTCCACAGTCATCTATGACAAACTGCCCCCTCTGGATCCCATGCTGAGACTCTGTTTTGCTCATGAACTGCACCCAGTGCAGACCCTCAGCTGATGATGGAGGTGGTAATGTCTGACTGTGGATTTGGCCTCAAACACCTGTCTTGTTTTCCTGTTCAAATGCTGTGTCAAATTATTCAACACATTGCAAAAAGGACAACTGATCTAAAAAGTAAGAAAGGATGTTTCAGCAAAGGTCAGGTAAATATCTTCTTAGTGATTGTGAGGATAAAACCATACTGAGCATTTAGTCCATCACAAAAGATATGTTCTAGATACACTCTTTCTGAAACATTGTAGAGTAATGAAATTTGGAAGGCTTCTCAAATATTTTTTTACTGAAATATTGATTTCTAGAGGTATCTTATTTTAAAAAGAAAACGATTTTCCTTTTAAAAAAGAAAATAATTAAAAATAATTAAAGATAAAATGAACTGTTTGCTCTATGGGAATTAGGTACAACTGAATAATAACTGAAGAATAATATGTTGTACATTGGTGAAAACTACTGAACTCGGAAATATTCAAAAAGAAAAAAAAATACTATGAAAGAAGAGTGAGAAACCGAATTGTAATAATTCAAAGCTGCAATTCTACATTTCTCTCAATATTGCCATGCATCTGAAGTGTTCTGCTATCAGTTGCTGCTACCATAATCAAAATGTAAATTACTTAAATCAATTAGACTCTTAGGTATAACTACAAGCCACATATTAAATGCAGTTTAGTACACTAAATGTGATAATAGGTTTTATAATTTATAAAGTTTTTATCGTCTTCAAATATTATCGTATAGCTGAAATCTTAAAATTAAAACATCATGGTAGTCTAGAATGAATTTTTAAAATAAAATTTGGAAATAGAGAATATTTTAGAGTTTTTTTTACCTTGCTTAACCACACCTTCTAATATTACATTTTGAGTAACAATTACATTATTTTTAATCAGATTTGTCCTCCAGTACCACTTGAACTGACAGTGAAATCTGACAATCTTATTATTGTAGGTACATAGAAGTGAGTGTTCCATAGACAGTCCTGTGACAACCTTGCTCCATCTCTTGGGACAGATGGACACAGCAAATGCTGCTCAGAGAGCTGTGTCTCTTTATCAGTGCTACACTGTGTGCTCTGCAGGACTCTCAGAATGAGAATTAGAATTCTAGCTCTCTAGGTACCTTTGCAGAGACAGTACTCAAAGACTGGCAAACATGACATAAATACTTAAGTAATTTTAAAAATTAAACATTAAATTAATAATATTTGGATAGGAAAGTGGTATTTCCAAAAGGAAAGTTCAAATAACTTTAGAAGGAGCATGCCATCACCATGTCTAGAAAGCACTTTTTCCTTGCCTGTAAATTGTACACTTCCAAGGTAACTTAAAGAAAACTCTGTCAGCATCATGCAATTAAAAAAATAATTCTTCTAAGGGACACGAAGGTAGGAGGCATCTCAGTCTTGGGCTGACAGCTCAGGTTTTTTTCGCCTTTGGGTGGCTAAATCCTGTACACACCTGAGCCCCAAGTGACTTGACCAGAGTATGTTATTGCATCAGATTGACTAACATGTAAACACAAAATTCTGACTTTTACATTTCCAATCTATATGTTAAATGTTCTTCTGTGGAAAAAAAACACCTTTTTTCTTGCCCTCCACAGAATTAAGTTTGAAATTTCTGCAAAGAATGAGCTGGATTTCTGAAGAAATAATAACAATGCACAATTATTGTAACATTTTGTATTTCTGAAGCAAAAGCTACCTGGCAAAATAAAAGCTGGAATCTGTAAGGAACAGAATCACAGAAAGCCTTCTGGAGAAATGGACTATAAAAACCAGAAAGGAAAGTGTTTAAAGAAACAATCCACCTGAAGAACAGAATTCTAGATATTCTGTCTATAGATAGTTTGTATCAATACCTACATTTAACTATCAAAGAGCACTCTAGTGTATTAGAACATTTATACTGTTGCTATTATTATCATTATTATTGTTATATTATTCTGTTTACTGGCAATTTCCAAGGTAGATGGAATATATAATTTTAACTTCTTTTTCACAGTAAAACTTACGCCTACTCTAGTAGACTACTGTACTTCTTCAGAGATTATCAGAGTTGTTGCCCACTAAAGGCAAGCAGGGATAGAGACAGGTGGGTAGACAGGAAGGTAGGGAGGCAGATATTTACCTTGAACAACAAAATTTACAGCCTGCCTCTCTGCTTGAGTGCGCAGCTTGTAATCCTGTGCGTTGATATTGGCCAGTGGCCTTTTGCGTCCCATTATGGAAACCACGTAACCTTGCAGGATTTAAATAAAAATTACTGTTATGTGATATAGAGGGATTTAAATTAGATTTCAAAAATTCTTCTTGAAGATAATACAGATATTTGTAATTATGTGCTGCCTGAGTCACTTTAATATTTTGTCCTCTGAAAATAGTCAGAGCTTATTTAAACCTTCAATGCTTATTGTATTTTTGGTTTAAGTACTATTTAATTCAGAGAATTGGTACATATTATACAAGGAAAGCTTTAGTTCTTTAAGGTTGTTAAATTTTTTTCAGGAACGTCTACCGGTAAACCAGCAAACTCTATCTGTGGGAGATGAAACTATAAATACCTAGCAGAATTAGCTATCTATTAGCAGCCATAATTAGAGCTTTCCACATAGTGAATACTTTACTTGGGAATAGTAAAGAAAAATCAATTTGTAGAGTAATTAAATCAGTAATGAATATTTCCCAAAAATTTAAAACAGGGTTTTTTTTGGGAAGAAAAGTTATCTTTTTTTTTCCGTTTTCTTTATATAGTATTTCTGTGCTCCTTTCACAGCCAAACTTCCTTAACTCTAGTGTGGTGGGATTTTTTAGTTTAAAAGAAATATAAAAACACAGTTAAGGCTTTATGTTAGGCCTAATGACCTATTTTCCTAAAGAAACCCCATTTGGAGGGCAAGTGAGAGGAGTTCAGATAGGAAAAGAGATGTGAGGTTCCTTTTGTCAAAATAACACACAGAAAACTTAGCTTATCTTCAAAAATAAACTCCTATTCTTATTTTATGAAAAATGAAAAATCATCCATGTTAAAAATACATCTTGAAAAAAATTTTCTTTGTATTTCTGATCACCTTGACTACCCATGAATTGTCGTTAGATACTACTGAAATTCAGACTGAATTTCCATGTCCTCTGCTGTACAAGCACAAGTGGTGAGGAGACCTCTTCAAACAAAAAGTTATCACCTTATTATGGACAACATATACCCAGGCTTGTGTGCAGAGGATGAATTAATTCGGCTTTCTGTGTATGAGTGCATTTCCAGGAGCGCTGATACCAAAAATACCAGTTTTGAAACAAGAAACAGAACTATCTGGAAATTAGGGTATTCTTTGACAAACGAGGCTCCCCAATTTAAGTAACATTTTCCATGAAGAACAGTATTTAAAGATGGAATTCTTGAAAAATTGTATTCCTAGGTAAAATTAGATTTACTGTAATATCCTTATTCCTTTGAGGTATGACTCCTCATTACTGAGCACTGTTCCCAAACAAACACCATCATTTGTGTAACAGTGGCAGAGAAGGTGCCTGGTGTCAACGATTAATCTGCAAATCCATGCCTGAATGAGGCCTTAATGTGGTCTTTTCAATATGTCAATAATTTAATAAAAAACAACAGCAGATAGTAATATATACACTAACAAATATCTTCCTCATAATAGAATTATTCATATGCTTATCATGTCTACATGGAATATCATTCATAAAACTTAAAAAATATTAATCAGAAGGGTGCTGCTCACCTTTGAACTTCAGGTAAGTTGAGAAAATGAGCCCAATAGGTTGGAATGTTTTTGTTGAGAAGTTAGAATCCAAGGTGGATTAGCAAGAAAAATATTAAATAATATTGATCTGCTGAAGATTTCTAAAGTTTGTACAACCTAAACAGATTGTTCTTCTACCATTAATGGTTAAAAATGTTTGATAGGCAGGAGTGTAAGAAGGAGTAAGAAGTAATTAGACAAGTGTGCTTCGATGACTTTAGAACATAAATCATGACATTCCTGTCTACTGAACTCATAAACCAGATTCTCTTGTGCAGAAGTCTGTTTATTGAAATTCATAGCATTCTTTTCTTAAAAGTCCAAGTTATTTTAAATATATCATAAATATATAATAAATGTGTAATGTTTTACTAGGTATCTTATGTTTGGTTTAATTACAGCTAAAAATGGATGCTTGGTAACTTCATTTTTCTCGAGCAATATTAATAAACAACGGAATGCAAATGTGTGACACAATGACAGTTCATACTTACAGTAGACTTTGAGACCCTACAAAGTACAAAAAATTAATACTATCAATTTTCACAACTAGAAGTGAATTATATGTCCCTGTCATTGCACCCACCCATGCAGTGATGGGTAATATTATATTGCAAATTTATTATTTATTTCTTAAAAATGTCTTAGTACTGCATGCCCTATTAAGAAACAAAATAACTCAATTTTGAAAGTTCTGCTAGTTAGCTTTTAAAAGACAATATTTCAAGCAGTTATGTTTTCTCTTCTCAAATTACTGCACTCCTAGGATTCACTAAATATAAATTAATTTGTAGACTAAAAACAAATTTGGTGCAAGAAGAGTTTGCAGCTGCTGGCTCCAGAAGCACTCTGTGCACATCTGTCACTACAGCTACCACCTGAACTTCAAGAACATAAATTCTGACTGATGCCTAGAAAAAATGAGTCTAAAAAAATTGGCTGTGTAAATTGACTGAACTTCCACGGTCCAGCAGCCATGGACCCAATTTATTAGGTAGAAGATTCCTTGGGCTTTTTTTCTGTTGGAGTACATTATATGTCAAAATGATGCAGTGTAATTTGACATTAAGTAGGGTTCATTCTGAGAACAGATGTCTTATTCTGTTAGCATCTTTCTTAGAAAAGGCAGACTTAACCAGCTCCTTTTAGGGCTAAAAAGAAAAAAACCCAAACCTGATTCACCAAGAAAGGATATTCCATCTTTTTTTGTTGTCCTGTAACTATCTGAATTTGGGTCAAGTTGAATCTTTGTCTTCACCACTGTCACACAGTGCAGATCAGTAAACAAAATCTGGTCACAGACTTTGGATTACCTTTATTCCGGCACTGTTCAATGGTTTTCTTTGTAAATTCATGTACTTTCTTGTATTTTTGCATAAAACTCTCTATAAATTGACTGGCTTGAACAGGAGTAATTCCCAAGCAGTCAGCGAGACGTTCTTTACCTGGTGGCACAGAAATGATCTCTATTATGCAATAAAGCAGAACAGAAAACAACTACATACAATAGCACTGTTTCATGCATAATTAGTGGAATTTCTAAACTTTACTTACCTCTATGAAATAGTATGGATCTGATACACTACAATCATATTGCAACAAAATAAATGTTTAACCCTGAGCTTGAATGTTTTACTGAAGTTACTCAATTAAGTATATAATTACTAAGAAGTATATAAGAAGTATGCAATTAAGAAATTCCTAGTTATAATTTATACCTATAAGGTGGTTGAAATCTCTTTTGTTCACAGAGCAATGCTGTTGCTTTAAGTATTATTTTACCAGTTCAGTGTTGCAACCTCCAAACTTTGAAGAGCAGATAAAGACTTGAAATTAACTTTAAATAAATACGAATATAATGAAGATCTAAAAAGGGATGGAGATGCTGGAGTTTAGCTAGAAGCTTTAGAGTTAAGCCTGAATTTAGAAAGGATGTTTGGAGTCTGGGTCCCACAGATTTCAGTCTTAGGCTCCTCAATGTCAGTAGAAATTGGGGTCCAAGTTTTGAGATAAAAGGGTTGGAACAAGAAAAAAAAAATGAAAAAGAAAAAACAGAAAAAGTGTTCCAACAGAGAGAGAAAGGAATAACAGCTTTTCTACAGGATATAGGCGCACAATATCTGTTATGCTGGATCTAAGAGCATTTATAAGAAAAGGTGGGAAAAACCTAAAGATATTACAGAGTGTGAAAATATAAACTAAGAGCTACAGTTTAAACCCACTTATAAATCAAACAGTTCCTGTAAAAATAAAACATACATCAACATTCATTCATTCATATGAAGCTTGAAAGACAGATATATTTAAGTCAGCTGCACAGCAACGCAAAACCAGCACTGTCTGCAAAGAACATAAGCTGAGAGGAGACATCTAAAGGCACCAAAGGCATGGAATAGTCATTGTCACAGTAAGACTGTCAAGAAAAATTGTCTAGCACATTAAAAAGAGAGAGGATTTCAGCCATCTAAATGCCATCACTGTCAGGCTGATGTGCATTTCAGAACAATTATTGTAGCATTTTGTTCTCAGTCACGCCAGGATCTGCACTGAGCAAGAACATCAGTCTAGACAAGGTGCTAGAGGAAGAAATTCACACAGACATCCAGGATGACATTTGCTGAGCTATTATAGATCTGTACTCTTTTTTTTTGACATCTTATTTTCTTCCTGGGTCAGCAAATGACAAATCTATTTGATAAAGCACACGTTGCTAACAGCTAGGAGACTACTGTAGCTTCCTTAGAGAACTGTAACATCTAAGTTTGTCCATGCTATCCATTTAAAGAACTATTAATATACAGAACAATTGCATAAAATACTAGGAAAATTAAAGCACAATATTAGCAAGGCCATCTGAAAGGTCCCAGGGAAATGCAGTTCCTGGGAAGCAAAAAGGGGAATGAACAGCCACGTAATTGTGTCAGATTGTGCTCTCCATTCTGCATCATCTTTCAAAAATGAAAATAGCATTACTTGTCATTTAAACACTGATAGCCCTCTGTGTCAGTCCAGGGCTTGAACATACTGCCATTGCATAGAAGGAATTCCTTATTTTACAGAAGTTAAGTTGCTCGTGTTTTAGTTCTACAAGATGACTGAGGCAGAAGCAGGCGAATTGAACTGCTCCAAACCAAACAAAAATACTTATAGAATGTCATGAGCTGGAAGGGACCCACAAGGATCAACTCCTGGACCTGCACAAGACACCTCAAGAGTCACACAATGTGCCTGAGAGTGTTATCCAAATGCTTCTTGAACTCTTGTCAGGCTTGGGGCTGTGACCACTGCCCCAAGGAAGCCTGTTCCAGGGACCAACCACCCCTCTGGGTGAAAACTTTTTCCTAATAACCAATCTCCTTTTTCCTTTATTATCCTTCAGAATTAAAGAAAAGACCTTGAAAGCATGAACCAAATGCAACTTAAGAAAACAGAACATACAACCTAAGAAAATAGAAAGAAAATAAAAAGATTACTATTTACTACATGAAAGGTTTTTATTAGCTCCTGTAAGCATAATACAGGCAAGTTCCTCAGGGAATGTTTTTGTAGTTTTCAATCCTAAAAGAAGTATTATTCACACTCTTCAGTTGTATAAAAAATGTTTCATTTATGAAAAGTGAGCTGTCTTTTGAAGGGAGACAAACTGTGGGTGGAATTCAGTCCATCAATTTCAGGTATCTAACAATTACTTTTTGTCAGCCCAGTTTCCATCTAAGTGGTTTAATGATATAATTTCATGTCTTAATCAGGATCTGATCACACTTCTAATGAACTGGAAACTTCATATTATCTTTGAGGTGCTTCAACTGCCCTTGTTTGAGAGAGAGGGACACAAAGCAAACAAGTAAATGGAGACACTTCTATCAAGCCCTGCTGCACTGAAATCTTTAGTGCCTAGTTCAGAGCAAGTGAGGGAGAGCCAATACTGTGCTTAAATGCAAAGATTCAAGCTCTCTATAGATCAGTAGACAGACACAGGCTCCACTGAGCCCCAGGAACTGAGGCATTTCTGACTATATACAGAACCACAGGGCATTCAACTGGTGGTGATTCATCTGACTACATCTGTCCCACCCATAGTGGAAGAGATAGGAAATGTGTAGCATTTGCATGGACCAAAGGGCAGGGGTCATAATGATGGCATTTTGTAAAATAACCCAGTGATGAAACCATTCAGGTGGGAAATGGAAGATTTTATTCCTGTCTCAGCACAGACAGGTCTAAATTTACAGTGTAAGGTACCAGTGCTGGGCTTTTTTAATACAGACTTTAAACACAGAGGTTTCAAATGCAATACAGCTTAACATAAAAACACAGATGTGTATGCATATATACACACACACACACCCCTAAACATAAAATAGATATTCAAGAGAGCTGAATTTGATGCATTTCTTCCCAACTGAATACCATAAATGATAAATGGAATACCCTGGCTGACTCTGCCTTTGGTTCAAGGACTCAGTGTAAAAGATAGCTTAGAAAGCATTCACAACCAGGAACTTGAGATATAGCATTAAGTGTTTCCAAGTTACATAAAGCTTGCAGTCCAGAGCTCTCATTTCCTAAATGACTTTTTCAAGAACTCATGCTCTGTAGAGAAAGTTAGCCAGCTGCTCACTGAAACCAATTCACAACAGCTTCTAGGCTGATGACATACATGCATCTATTCCCCAGAAAAGGTAACTCCAGGCATGTATGAAGCATAAGGAAAGTTGGGCATCATTTAGAAATAGCAGGTAGTTTTGGAAAGTCTGAAGAACATCTTTACTTATCTAGGACCTGGTCAGGACTCAGGCAGAATGGGCAACAGTGTATTTTTGCAAGATTTCTGCAGTTGTGAAGAAATGGCAGCAAACATTAAGACTCAAAGTAAGGGAACACTTTTACACTGAAGGTGAGCAAGCACTGGCACAGGTTGCCCAGAGAGGCTGCAGAGCCTTGAAGAGCCCTTTCTCCAGCCTTGAAGACGTTGAATATCTGGACACAGTCCTGGGCAAACAGCCCTGCGTGAACAGGGGGCTGGATCTGATGACCTCCAGAGGTCCCTTCCAATCCCTGCCATTCTCTAATTCTATAAATGTGATTTAAAACAATATTGGAGTTTTTTAAAATTTCATTGCAGTTATTCCCATCTCTGTCTATATACTGAGAGAATCCAAAGTCCACTCAAAATTAGATATATGCTTCAGTTATATCAGCAGTAAATAAATACAGAATCAGACAATCTTTGTATATGGCAATGTAACTACATTAATTTCATAATTCTTATACTGAGTAGATAATTTAATAATCCTGGATAAAAATATAAATGCAATACTCTGACAAACTTTTACTCACCTTTAGAAATTCAATCTACTTATATAAATTATGAATAGAGCATAAATTTACAGTAGCTGTTTTTTTTCTAAAAATGCCTACCTGCTCCATAAACCACCGAGTAAACTATACGCTTTGCTTGCTCTCTATCAGCATGTTTCACTTGTTCACTTGGAATCCCTTTCCTAAAAAAACAAACAAAAATCACACCTTCTCAGTAAAACTAAGTTGTTATCCCCACAGTAAACTTATTTAAAGTCAATAATAATTTAATAACTACAAAATTGGAAGATATGAATAGATGTACTTAAGGGCTTTTGTTATCAGCCAGAAATGCACAACTTCTTTACAAATTTTCATACTGATAGTCCACAGTAAATTAAATTATTTATTTTAATTTTAATCTTCTCCTTTCCTTTTCAATTAAATTCTTGGTTAGGAAAAATCCTACTACTATATTACTAGCTTTTCAGATTGAGGAGAATTTAATAGTGGCTCACGATAAAAATTAATTATTTCCAGCAGCAGCATTTCTTGAAGATGTGAGAGACTCAAAACATAGGTCTGACCTAAAGCTTGTTTAAATAAGACTATTATCAGGGCTTCACAAATAGAAATATCCAACCTTTTTTCAACAAATGACTGATAGAAGCAAGCACTGCCTGCTCCATATGCCTCCACAATAGCAAGGCTCCATAAAACAGCAACAGTAGCTGATTCTGGACTCAAGAGTGCATCCAAATTACTCCCAGCCAAGGGTCCTCCTTCCCAGTTCCCATTCTCTCACAACTGACATATAACAGTCCTACAAAAATGCTAATAGATTTAGCATTGTGAAAAATGAAAAGTTATGACTTTGCAATCATTAAGTATGTGCCACCTATAGTTTTCCTTATCAAAATACAGCTTCAGGAAGAATACTGAAATTATTAACAACTGAAAGCACTGAATAATATTGATCATTTGGTTTCAATGGAAGGGTCTTGGGGGAAATCATATGCTCATTCTCTGAAAATCATACCTACAAAAATTAAATTTGAATCATGGAGATTAATTGCTATCAGAGATACTAGATGATATCTGCACCACTTGGGAAAAAGTCTTCCCATGAAACTGTCAATCTTTT